TATTATTTGATTTCTCAATTGCAAAAACGACTCCACAATGTGGGAAATTATTCATATATATTATCCATCCGAGTGTGAAGGTTATGAGATATTTCAAGGAATATTCAAGGATATTAAGTATATTCCATTTTTTGAAGGATATGGTTGTATTATACATAGATGTTTTATGTGTATATATATGTGTGTGTGTTTGTGTGTGTACGTACGTGCGTGCGTGCGTGCATTCGTGTGTGTGCGTGAGTGCGTGTGTATGTGTGCGTGCGTGAGCGCACGTGTGTATGTGTGCGCGTGTTTTAAACCACATAGACTAATGATGTATTCAGAGCTGGCGGCAGTGGAATGTAGTTTTAAACTTGAACATCACAATTATGTCTATAGATAATTATGTTAAAGATATATAGATGGATAAATAGACATATTCATAGATACAAATATTTACATATGCAGAATTGCATTCTTACGAATGTTTACATGAGAGAGAGAGAGAGAGAGAGAGAGAGAGAGAGAGAGAGAGAGAGGAGAGAGAGAAGAAGAGAGAGAGAGAAGAGAGAGAGAGAAGAGAAAAGCTAGAGAGAAAGATATCAAGAAAGAAAGAGAGAAAAAAAACAGAAAAAAATGAGCGAGAACACACACACACACACACACAAACATCCTTCAACCCCCCCCCCTCCCCTTCTCCCCCCCAATAAGAATTTCTCGGAGCAAGCAAGCAATGACTAGGCAATTGTTGCTCGCACAAGAACTTTTCAAGAATCTCCTTTTGCAAGCTCTTATCTGGAGAGGTTTCGTGCCGTTCCGAAGCGTATAAGGTGAAACCTCCTTTAACTTTGGTGCTATTGAAAAGGTTTTTTTTTACTTCTTTTTGTATATATGATTTTTATTGTTATCATTATCATTATTGTTGTTGATGTTGTTATTATTTTTTATTGTTGTTATTATCATTATTATTGTTATTGTTATTGTTGTTATTATCATTATCATTATCATCATCATTATTATTATCATTATCATTATCATCATCATCATTATTATTATCATTGTTATTATCATCATTATCATTGCTATTCTCATTATTTTCTTAATTGCTGAGCGTTGGCTGGAGAAAGATTATAATTCGTTTCCTATTGATTTTACCTAATGTATATGTTTTATTTTCCTCTGTCACTTTTTCCATCTTTATCTTCCTCATTTCCTCACCTCTCTCTTCATTACTTTATTCCAAATAACATTTTCAATTTGATAACCAAGGCGCACAGAATCTTAAATCATCACTTCATTTAACTTTACGGAAATATTCCAAAACTACTCCCAGAACATATCAAAAGCAGAAATGGAGAACATTCGAGAACCTAAATACAGGATTTCCACTCGCAAGCGCGCGCACAAGGATCTATATATAAAAGTAAAAAAAAAAAAAAAGAAGAAGGAAAAAATGGCGCGCGTTTTTTTCTTCCGGTCTTCTCTCTACGGAGTTGAAATCGCTCGTGTTTTTGTATATATATCGTTTTATGATGATGATAATAATAATAATAATATACGATAAATAATGAAATAATAATGATGATCATTATTTGTTATTGTCATATCATCATGTTCATCAGCATTATCATTAATGTTGTGTATTTTTTTAGACATTTTTTTCATTCCTTTTTCTTCGTTAGTTCAATCTTGTCTTGTTATTTGTTCTGCCATAAATAGATTTGAATAAAGTATAAAGGTTTTCAAATGACTGACCGAACTGAACTAACTCATATCATATGGTAATGATGATAATGATAATCACAAAATCAGAAATTACAATAATAATCATAATAATAACAACATTACTGCTGCTAATAGTAATGATAATGCTATTACTACTAATAACACCAATAGCAATAATAGTAATAATGATAATAAAAATATAATAACAATAAAAAGAATGTGATAATAATAAATGGTCATAATATTACAAAACATATAACGATAAAAAATAATAACAAAAATAGTAATAATAAAAATATAGCTTATACTCTGTATTGTTTCTGCCTTTCTAAAAGCGTTCAATCTCTCCTCTCCTGAAAATTGTCTCAAAATACGTGTGGAATTCGCTGTTGCTAATGAAAACCCCCCAAAATAACCATTCCCAGCGTTGTATTCCCAGCCATAAACCGAGAATGCCTTTGCTACGTCGCCATGTCACAAAAACACGAAAGAGCCGCCGCTTGTCGTCCGTTGCCTAAACAAAAATCCTCGCGTTTGTTGTCAAAATATTTTAGCCCATTTCCTTATCTCATTTTTTTTTTTATATCTATTACTGTCTCATCAAAGAACTATTTCCTAAATCCGATTTTTTTTACAACGAAGATTAGATCGAAAAGAATATACACCTAAAAGAAATTGATAAGATAAACTCCCTTTGATTATCGTACGTTGCCAGCTCTCTCTAGACTGCATCTAAGTGACGTCACAAGAACGAGACACTCCTTGGACTCGTGGCTCCAAGGCGGTACTTATGGTACGAGTGACAACTTTTTCCCTCTCTTTCCTTTATTTCCGTTCCTTCCTCGAACACAGACGAATGAATGAGGGGATAAAGTAGTAAACATTTAAACAACTGAATAAATAAACGCATCATTTCATAAATAAAGGGGTTGTTTTTGTTTAGATGTTTATTAAAATAAATATTATTCATTGGTAGCAATTGACTTAATTATGGTAAAGATGATTACACGTCATTTCCCTACATTTCTTTCAGTAGTCATAAATAGATAGATAAACAGATGCGCTGAGGAATAGATAAGACTAAGTAGATGGGTGAAT